TTATCCCCTCTTCTCTTAGTTTTCCCCAGCCCCCATGCCAGTCCTGTTTTGTAATAGTGGCATTATGCAGTATTTGTCTTTTTATGACTGAGATACATAACCTGATGAGCACATCCAGGGATGCATCTGTTTGTTTAAATGTCTCAGCTTGTATTCCATCAATTCCTGAGGCTTTGTTTTTCTCCAATTCCTTCAGGGTAGCTTGAATTTCCTCCTTTATTATTATTGGTTCAAGACTGGCACAGCATAGAGCAAGGTTTAGGGCTGTTGTACATAGGGTCACTATGAGTTGCAGGCAACTTGATGGCATATAACAGCAGCAACAACAACATGATCATATACAAATTCCTGATAAGCTCCTGATAAGCCAGATCTTTTTGGTACAATGACTGAGTATACTCCTTCCATCCTCCTTTGCTGCTTCCTGGATCATTCAATATATTGTCATAGCATCTTATTGTTTATTTTTTTAAATTGTGATTTTAATGTAAGTTTGCAGAAAAGTTGGATGTTCATTCATTTATTGTTGCACATTTCCTCCCTACCCATCCCCAGTTCACTTTAAAAAAAATCATTCATTGCTGCATTGTTTCTGCCCTCTTTCCTCCCCTCCCCCAGTCCACCTTACTGCACACCTCTTATTCTGGGCTGTTGTCATATAAATAATGCCTAATCATATACTCCTTTTAAATAGTTCTTTCCTTCACGTTTAAGCATTGCATCTCACAACTTGTATTAGTTCTTCAATTCCTTTCGCTTGAGAAATGTTGAATGTGTTATTCCTTTTTGATTTTCTGACTCCAGCTCTTGGCACAGTTTATTATACCATTTTGCTTTGTCTTCATGAGCAGCCCTGTGTTAGCCATCGTTTATTATAACCCACAGAGTCAAATGCCTTTGTGTAGTCAATAAGCACAAATTGGCATTCTCCTGGTATTCTCTGCTGTCACCCAGGAACCCTCTGAGAGCAGCAATGATGTTTTTGCTGCCATGGCCTCTTCCAAACCCTGCTTAAATCTCTGGCAGTTCTCTGTTAATGTGTTGTGCTAGCCAGTTTTGGATGACCTTGAGTAATGTTTTGCTTGCATGTGAAATTAATGATGATGATGTTGTTGTTGTTGTGGAGTACTGTTTAGTGGGAACCAATTCATACCCGACTCATCAGCATCATACCAGACTCACCAGCAGGTTTTCAGAAGTAATAAATCACATGGGAGAAGATTGCCCATCCTTCTCCCATGAAGCAGCTGGTGGAGTCGAACTGTGTGTCTTTGGGATTGTAGAGCAGCTTCTTGCCATTAGGCCACCAGAACTCTCTAACAGCAACCACAATGTTAAATTTCTTATGTAGCTTTCTTGGAATGGGAACAAATACAAATCTCTCTATGTCAGTTTGCCATGTAGCTAGCTTTCAAATTTTCTGTCATAGACTAGTGAGCATGTCCAGGGTTGCATCATTAGATGAAACCTGTCACTTGGTATCCCATTGATTCCTGGGCCTTATTATTTGCCAGCACCTTCAGTGGAGACTGAACTTCTTCTTTCTTTTTAATTGGCTTTTGTTCATATGCTACTATCTGAGATATTTTAGTGTTGGCCAATTCTTTTTGATACAATGACTGTGCATTTTCTCCATCTTCTTTTGATGCTTCCTGGATCATTCAAGATTTTGCTAATAGCATCTCCCATTATTGTAACTCCAGGCTTGAATTTGCTTTTCAGTTCTTTCAGCTTGAGAAATTCTGAGCAAATTCTTTCCTTTTTATTCTCTGACTCCAGCTCTCTGCACATTTATTCCATTTTAATATTTTGCTTTTACCTTCTTTTTTTTAGTTGAAATTTTTATGTATTTTCCATAAATATTACCAGTTAATTCATTAAACTGAGATGAAAGCCTCTCTACAAAGATGCATCAATATAATACAGTTGGGCGGAATATGTTTTTGGTCATTAGGTATTGCCATATTTTAATATAATATTAAAAACATGAATCTATGAAATCTGATAATTTTTCTTACCCTATAATGATGGTAATTACTTATGAATTTAAGTTTTTACATTTCGAGTAGATTACAACACACTATCACAGACCTTCCAATAGAAGCTGGTGAAAAGTCATCTCTCTTATGAACTATTTAAGATAATTCTTTTCTTTAATAGAATTTTTAAATTTTAATTGTGGTTTTAACAGAAGTTTACAGAAAAGGTGGATTTTCATTCATTCATTGTTGTCCATTTTCCCTCCTCCCTCCATTCCCCACTCCCTAGTTCACTTTTATATTTTTAATATTCATTAAATTCATTCATTGTTGCACAATTACCTCCCCTCTTTGCCTTCCCCAGCTTTATTTTCTTGATCTGTGCTTTGAAATCTTCTGTTCAACTCTTTTACATCAGTATCTCTTCTCTTTATTTTGGCTTCTTGATGGTCTAGTACAATTTTCAGAGTCTTCTGAAATATCTTTTTTTTTTTCTCCTCTGTGTTTGTCATGATCTTTTGTTCCCTTCATGATGGTATAATTTATGCCATCCCACTATGTAGCTGTCACTTAGACAATTGAAAACAACATTTATTGAATTTGTTTTCTGTGGAAAATTGTACACAGTATGTCTTATGTACTGCCCTTGAGTCAGTTCCAACTCATAGCCACTCTGTCTAGTTCTCAAGGGTGGGAGTCTTTCTGGGGGGGGGGCAACTACCCTTCTCCCAGGACGGCTCATCTCTCCCTGTGAGTAGGTGGGTGGATTCACACTGCTGACCTTTTGGTTAGCAGCCTGACATGTTAAGTCCTACACCACCAAAGTTCCTCAAAAAGTATGTGTTTTTTTTTTTAAAAAAGATATTAAAGATCAGAGAAGTAGAGCTGATTTTAAAAAATTATCTGTCATTTCATTAATGAAAACAATTGCTGTTAAAACAGCCTGGGAGATTTTGTTGCTGCTATTTTTCTACAACTCATGTTTTTGCTTTAGATGATTGTGATAATAGTTCACTATAATTATGTTGTCTCTTTGTAACACTGTCATATTCCATTGAGTGGCTAGAACACAGTTAGGTGGTGCTGTTTTTTGCTGCCGGCAGAGAACTGTCCCATAGGGTTTCCTAGACAGTAATTTTTCTTCTATTAATGTACATTTTTGAGTCACTATATAGTTAATGTTTTAGGATTGTTTTCTTAGATTGTAATCTTAGAAATATAAATAGAGGGTTGAATATTATAAAAATTTCCACAAGTTTTTTTAAAAGTCACTTAAAGTTTAATCAGTCATATTAATGAAAATATCAAGACATTTGAGTTAGTGTATGGCAGCAGAAACTTAATTTTTGTTGCAAATAATACAGTGTTTGGTGTTTCCGTTATTAACAAGCTATGCTGCAGAAAGAGCATTTGGATTACCTCTTAATTCATCTAGGTGGTGCTCCATAAACTTCTTGAAAACTGCTATGGCATCTTCTAACAAAGTTTCATCATTAGTTTTCCCCATGAATTGGAAATGGTCTCCATCCATCTAGAGAGATACCCACCTGCATGAACTAATGCAAAAAAAAAACAAAACAAAAAGCCCCAAACCACAAAGATTTACTTTCTTATCTATAATTGGTGCCTCAGTCTGATCTGCATGAGCACTGGTCTCATAACTTTAATAGCATCACAGTTCTCCAGGTATCCGGCTCTTTCTTCCGGGCTCATGGACCTAGACTGCTTGAGGGATTTTTCCAAGGTTCACCGAGATTCAGAGTGCATCTTGTCTTTATTGCTAGCAAAAGCATGGATCAGTCCAATTGTTCCACAGGCATTGCTGATTGTTAGCTTCATGAAATATATCGATGGTGTAATCTTTCCCTGAGATTTTATTTTTTCCTCTTCTTCTCTTCTAATACTTCATACTTTTTCGTAATAGGGAAGAGAAGTAACACTGAACAGAGTGGTATTGATACCATTCTAAGGAGGTTAGGATCCATTCCAGATACATCAACAAATTGCCAGTCAGGACATGGATCTAATTAATTGTTTAAGAAAGTTAGAGAAGTATAAATTTGACTAAGAACATCAAGAAAACAAAGATTCTCACCACTGGGCCAATTGGCAGCATCAGTATGGATGGTGAAGAGATTGAGATAGTTAACAGTTTTAGTTTACTTGGCTCCACAATCAACACTCTTGGTAACAGCAGCCAGGAAATCAAGAGAAGAATTGCACTGGGAAAGTCAGCTGTGAGGGACCTCTCAAGAGTACTGCAGAGCAATGACGTCAGGCTGGAGACTAAGGTGCGCCTGATCTGGGCTATAGTCTTCGCAATTACATGCTATGCATCAGAGAGTTGGACAGTGAATAGGGTCAATAGAAAGATAATTGATGCCTTTGAACTTTGGTGCTGGAGAAGAGTGTTGAATATACCATGGACTGCTAAGAGAACAAACAGGTTTGTCCTGGAGAAGGTGTAGCCAGAATGTTCCTTGGAGTCAAGGATTCTGAAGCTTCTTCTGACATACTTTGGGCATGTTGCAAGGAGGGATGGGTCCTTGGAGAGAGACATCATGTTTGGCAGAGTGGAGGGGCGGCGAAGGAGAGGAAGACCTTCGATGAGATGGATCAATTTTTGTGACTGGAGCAGTGGGAATAAGTGTGCTTGATATGGCTAGGTTGGCACAGGATAGAACAGCATTTAGAGCTCTTGTACATAGGGTCTCTGTGAGTCGCAAGTGACTCGATGGCTCATAACAACAACAACAACAACAACAACAACAACAACAACAAGGACACATTTAGGAAGAATAATAATTCATAATCCAGAGTTTGCCTGTTTAGGGATCTCGGGATTGGCTTCCAGCGGCAGGCAGCACAGGCCCTCCATGGCGGCTGCGTGCGGTCCTTCTCCAGCTCTGAAAGCCACCACCTCTGCCGACGTTTTCCTAATTTTTGATATGTGTTATAAGGCTAAGATTTTTAAAAATGGAACTTATTTATGGATTTCTTTTTTTCTCCATTAGGTATACTCTGGATAATGATGTCCTAAGCCTGGAACAGAGACAATTTTATGAAGAAAATGGGTTTCTTGTCATTAAAAATCTGGTGTCTGATGCTGATATCCAACGCTTTAGGTACAAAACTACTCTACCTTGTTTTACAAAAATGAGTATGCAATGAGAGTTCAAGTTACGTTCACTTATGCATGGTCAAATTTCTTCTAAATAACTTGATTGTTAGGAATGGGTGTGAGTATGGGCTGCAGAAGCCCTAACTTTATTTCATAGCTCCACCAGTTAGTATTTATTGTGTGTCCTGAGACAAGTTCAGTAACCATTCTATGCCTCTGTTTTCTCATCTTTAAAATGGAGATAACAGTTTCATTTTCAAACCCTAGCATAGTTTTTAGGACTAAATAAAGTAAAATGTACACAGGACACTTGTTTGTAGTTTTTGTTGTGTACCACCAAATTGAAGCCGAATCATAGGTTGAGTAAACTCATAGGTCTAGTGAGTTTTCGGAGGTAGTAAATCACAAAGGAGGAGATTTTCCATCTTCTTCCCCCCAGGAAGCTGCTGGTGCATTTGAACTGTGTACCTCTGGGCTGGCAGCACCATTCCTTACCACTAAGCCACCAGAGCGCCCATAAGTGTATGTAGTAAGTGTTATCATTCATCATGATGTTGCAATTAGATCACAGTTATATCCTCGGTAGTATTTTATGCTAAGGGAGATTTTAATTCTGGTGGTAAATGCTAGCCCGGCAGTTCAGAGGCAGAACTTCAGAGTTGTCTGTGTTCTCCCTTCTCTCATCGGCACAATTTCTGTTTAGAATTGGAGGCAAACTGTGCAGAGAAAATACGCTGAAGTCAGTGAATCCTTCGATAGAGCAGGGCCAGGCCAGTGCTGGGAGCAAGTGGTACTGACATAACTTGCAAATTTAATTTTCTAGGAATGAGTTTACAAGAATCTGCAGAAAGGAGGTGAGACCACCAGGAATCATGATAATGAGAGATGTGGCCACGGACAAATCAACGTTTGTTCCAAATGAAAACACGGTTTCAAAGATCCAAGATTTCCAGGAAGATGAGGAACTCTTCAGATACTGCTGTCTTCCTGAGGTTAAAGACTTTCCTGTGTTTTCTTTCTGCCTGCCTTTGATATTTGCTGTTTTTATCTCCCTTTCCTACATAGGGCACTAGCTTTCTTCTCAACTGAGTGGATTTTGCACAGTTGAAGACATTTGACAATGACTGGAAACTTCTAGTCTCTTGATTGCTGGTGACAGCTGGTGAGCAGAGTCAGGAAACACTGTTGAACATGCCACAATGCACAGGGCAGTTCTCTCACCCCTAACAACCAAGAGTTGTTGTTGTTATGTACCGTCAAGTTGGATCTGACCCATAGCTGACCCTCCAGTGAGTTTTCAGAGGCAATTAATCACTCTAGAGGAGATTACCCATCCTTCTCCCATGAGCCAAGAATTAAGCAGCCCCAAATGTCAACAGTGTCATGACTGGAAAATTCCGCACTACAGTTTTCTAACGATTTTTCATTGAGGAAATTGGAGAGTTCTGCATTAGAGAGATCACCCTCCTAAGGCTTGATGTGGTGAATCAACAGAGGCGCGATTGCTGAGGCTGTGTCATGCTAAATCCATTTATTCAGTCACTTCGTCAGTCTGGTCAGTCGAGATGTGAGCTTATTTTAAAATGCAAATGAATTTTTAAGGCAGTTATTATTCTTTAAAAGTAAAGAAGAATATTGAATATGTCATGGACTGCTAAGAGAACAAACAGGTTTTCCCGGAGAGGATTAAACCAGGCTGTTCCTTGGAGGCAAGGATTCTGAGGCTTCGTCTGACATTCTTTGGACATGTTGCAAGGAGGGACTAGTCCTTGGAAAAGGATGCCGTACTTGGAATGGTGGAGGGACAGCGCAGGAGAGGAAGACCCTCTATGAGGCGGATTGATTCAGTGACTGGGGTAATCGGGATGGGTGTATCAGAGACAGTGAGTCTGGCACAGGACAGAGCAGGGTTCAAAGCTGTTTTACATAGGGTCTCTATGAGTCAGAGTTGACTGGACAGCACATCACAATAACAACAACAAAAGTAATTTATATTTCTAAAAAAAATGCAGGCAGTACAAAAAAGTATCACTTGCAAAGTAGAGTCTCCCTCTACACAAACTCCACTCAGGCAAAGATTTCCATGTGTTCGTTCATCTAGAACCATTTCATGTCTGTCCTGAATATTCTTATGCTCCCTGGAGTACATACATGGGGACATATGTGCCGTACCTTGGTTTTTTTTTTCACTTACAGTGGATGTTAGACATCTTCCCACAGACTTTTTAGAGAGCTGAAAAATAGTCTACTGTATGCATCTGACATAATGTAGTAACCATTTGTTAAGAATAGTTTTGAAAGAGACTTTACATATGTTATTGTTGGGTGCCATCAAGTTGACTCTGACTCACAGTGACCCTACAAACAGCACAGCTGAGGCCTGTCCTATCTTGCACCATCCTCATGATATCTGATGTGCTCCAGGCCATTGTTGGCATCACTGCGTCAATCTATCTTGTTGAGGGTCTCCTTCGCTTCACTGACCCTCCACCTTTCCCAGCATGATACCTTTTTCCAAGGATTGGCCCCTCCTGACAGTATATCCAAAGTTTAAGAGATGAAAACTCTCATTGTCATCGAGTCAGAATCAACTCATAGCTGACCCTCCAGCAGGTTTTTTGGAGATGGTAGATCCCATGGGATAAGATTGTCCACCTTTCTCCCACAGAGCCATCGGTGGATCCAAACTACAAGAGAAGTGTCAGCTTTGAGTGACAGCATGACTGCCTACAGGCTGTGTGCCACCAAAGAAAGCATTTCATTTGGAATCCTTACTTATTGTTGTTATGTGAATCCTTACTTATTATTGTTATGTGCTGTTGAGTTGCCTGAGACTCATAGTGACCCTACGTACCACAGCTTTGAACCCTGCCCTATTTTGAGCCAGTTTCATTGTCTCTGACACACCTACCCCCATTATGCCATTATTGTGTTAATCCATCTCATCCAGGGTAGTCTTCAGGGAGTTGTACTGCAAACACAAAGGTGGAGCTTCTCCTGGACTTGAAATTCACCAGCCACTCCCCAGGAGATAGGTGGACAATCTCTAGTTTACAGACTTTGAAACCTACTGGATCACTATGAGTCCTTTCTGACTCAGTGGTTTTGAGGTGAGAGGAGAGATAGCAAGACTTTCAGATTTCTTTAAAATTTTTTTATTATTAATTTCAATGAAAATTTACAGAGACTTTGGATTTCCATTCATTCATTGTTGCACTTTTCTTCCCTCCTAACCCTCCCCCCCAGTATACTACCCTCCTGGAAAAGTAAAAGAAAAATTCTTTCATTGTTTTACAAACCCTCCCCCAGGTCCACTCCACTATGCAGCCTTCACTCTGGACTCCCATCATGACAAAAATGCCTAATCGTATAGCCCTTTTAAACAGTTTTCTCCCTCATCTTTTTCAATGAGGTATACATTATTTAACCCGTCCTTCTCAGTCTCCTCCCAACCCTGAGGTCAGTCCTGTTTTATAACAGTGGCACCATGCAGTATTTGTCCTTTTGTGACTGAGATACTTCACTCAGCATGATGTCCTCCAGGGCCACCCATTTTGAATAATATTGCATAAGTTTCTTATTTTTTCTACTTTTCTTCCCCGCCCTGAGTTCCTTATTTTTCAGTGCAGCGTAGTATTCCATTGTGTGAATATACCACAGCTTCTCTATCCATTCATTTGTTGATGGGCACTTAGGTTGTTTCCAACTACTTACTATTGTGAACAAAGCCGCGATAAACATGGATGAGCAGACTTTCAGATTTTTTGTATCTCTAAGTGTGGAACAAGTACTTAGTGGTTAACACAATAATTTTAGGAGGTACTCATTTTAGTAGATATTTATTTTCATATACATTAAGAAAGATAACCAGCACATCAAACCTATTATTTCAAGAATGTTATTATTCAATTAGACTAAAGAAAACATGATTCTGTATTATGGTATTGGCAGCGTATCCCATGGATTTCCAAAGGAAAAAACTAATCTGTCCTGGAGTAAGTCAACTAGGGTGTTTTATAGAAGCAAGGATGGTGAAACATCATCTGACATACTTTAGGTATCTTGTCAGGAGGGGCCAGTGTCCTTGGAAAAATACATCACACTGGTCAGTGAAAAAGAGGAAGACCTCCAACAAGATTGAATGGCACAGTGACTGGACTTAGGGGCTTGCACATGGCGGAGACCATGAGAATGGTGCAGGAGAGGACAAGGTTCATATCTCTGGCTCTAGTGTTGCTGTGAGTCACGCTTGAGTCAATGACAGCTGACAAGAACAACAACAAGGAAAAGACATGACTTGAAATGAAAGCAAGAACTGAACTAAATGGTAATACAAAGCCTAGCAGAAATTGTGAAGCTGGGCCTTCAATGACAGGCTTAGGAAATACCAATCTATGCTAAATAGGCAGAGGGGAAATGAAAAGAATCCAGGCTGAACAGCCTTGGGGTGTTTGTCATTTCAAGTTGTTTCAAATTCAAATCGCCCTTGTTCTCTATGCACAAGAGAGCAAGTAGGAAGAAGTTAGAATGTACCTCATTTTTTTAGATTCAGGCAAAATCTGAGTTGGAATATCTTGTTTTTCATTTAACAAACTTTGGCAATTTGGTAACTTCTTAGTCTCAGTTGGGTATGTTCAGTGCTAGTAGTCATGTGTATACATAATGACAGAAATTAACATAACATGTTTACAGAAATACCTGTGGAGGGGTTTCATTGGCAGAACCCCATGTGACATGGCCATTATTAGTACAGAAGCATGGTACTAGTTGGGTATCAATGAACTGATGTATAAACCCCCTGGCATATAGCAACCATTTCATTTGGAATCCTTTTTATGTTCTATCCCTTCCTAAGCTGGGTTAGATAGACATTTGCAGGGTCACCCCAACCCTCAGGTCCCAGAACTAAGCCAGCCCTCTCGGTCACAGGCTATCATTGTAGCAAATTCTTCCTCAGAGTGTGTCTTAGCCACAAATATCCACAGCCTGCGTTTGGTTAAAACCTTTCTTCCCACCATATTATAAACTCCATGAGACCAGGCATCTGCCTATCTTGTTCACGGCTTAGTCTTCACTTCGTACCACCATGCTTGGCTCATAAACACCAAACCAGTTGTTTTTGCCTTGAGTGGGACTTACGACAAACCTGTATTAGAACAGAATTGTGCATGGTCGGGTTTTCAGGGACTGATTTTGCAAAATTGATCTTCAGTCTTTTCTTGTGAGGTGCCTCTTGGTTGGACTCACCCAAGGATTAGACATCCGATTGTTGAGCAAATGACATCAATTGCAAAGCATCCTTTGCCCAGCTGCACTGCTTTCTGCTGGGCTGCTCATGTCAGGCACGAGTAGCAGTGGCTCATTTGTGGCCCCTTCTGAACTAGGGGTCTGCAGGAAGGATGAGGAAACAGCTTTCTCCCCAGGCAGCCTACTAGACAGAACTGTTCTCTTCATTCCCACTTAATAGCTCATAGAATTATTACTTCACAGAGAAAAAAATAATTTGATCAATGTCCAGCTGATTTTTAAAAAGGCTATTTAACTCATGGTGCTGTAATAGCACTATGAGATTTCTAGTGATTTTCAGTGTTCCACTTTGTTCCAATTTATTTGCAGTATTATAAGTTACCAATTGCTTTAAAACTGTTGTGGTTTTTATTTTGATTCTTGTATAGAGAGCTGAACTTGCAGATTATGCTTTCAGTCCATGTCTCTGATTTGCCTTGAGGTTTTATCTCTCTTTTTTAAAAATCTTTTACCCCCTTAGATCCTGAAATATGTGGAGTGCTTCACTGGACCCAATATTTTGGCCATGCACACGATGCTGATAAATAAGCCTCCAGATTCTGGTAAAATGTTCTTGGGGTTTTGGTGGGGTTTTTTTTGGGGGGGGGCAAGAAAAATCTGTTTGATTGAAGCAGGTAAGATTAACATTCTACCATGGCTGTGTGTATACCTATCCAGTATTGCACACATGAAAATACATACTTTTATATAAGTTTTAAAGTAGGCTATGTATTAAGTTGAAGGAAATAGCAAGATCAGGTTTTTTAAATTTTCTTTTTTAAAAAAATTAATTTTAATGAAAGTTTACAGAGACTTTGTATTTCCATTCATTCATTGTTGCACTTTTCTCTCTGCCCAACCTCCCCCTGCCCAGTTCCCTCTTTGAGAAGAAAAAGAAAAATTCTTTTATTATTATACAATTCCTCACCCCAAGTCCAACCCACTGTGCAGCTTTCATTTTGAAAAGTAAAATTCTTTCATTGTTATACTATCCCTCACCCCAAGTCCATGCCACTACACAGCATTTGTTCTGGACTCCTGACATGACAATAATACATCATCATATATCCCTTTTAAACAGTTCTCTGTCTCATCTGTTTCAATATGGTATACATAATTTTTCCCATCTTTCTCAGTCTCCCCGCAACCCCAATGTTAGCCCCGTTTTACAACAGTGGCACTATGTAGTATTTGTCCTTTTGTGACTGAGATATTTCACTCAGCATAATGTCTTCCAAGGTCACTAATTTTGTATAGTATTTCATAAGTTCTTTGTTTTTCAACGCAGCATAGTATTCCATTGTGTGAATATACAACAGCTTCTCTATCCATTCCTTTGTTGTTGGGCACTTAGGTTGTTTCCAACTCTTTGCTGTTGTAAATAAAGGCGTGATAAACATGGATGTACATATATCTGCTTGGGTGATGGCTATGGTTTCTTTGGGTTATATTCCCAGTAATGGAATTGCTGGGTCAAATAGTATTTTTCCTTTGCAACTTTTTGAGAATGTGCCATACTACCGTCCACAGTGGTTGCAAGATCAGATGTTTTTGTAGGATTATTGCTAAATGTTCAGGCAATTGACTTCTCAGAAAAATGAACTCGAAACATTGCTGTCCGTAGGAACCATAAACACTGCTGTCAGCTGACCCAGCTCATGGCGACCCCATGTGTGTGTCAGCAGAATTGTGCTCCACAGTGTTTTCAGGGGCTGATTTTTGGGAAGTAGATCATCTGGCCTTTCTTCAGAGGTACCTTGGATGGACTTGAAACTCCAAACTTTGGTTTAGCAGTTGAAATCATTAACAAGGTTCAATACTCAGAGATTTCTTATATGTCACAAACTCTGGTTATACAACACCTCTAAGCATTACTGGGAGCTCTGGGGGCTTAGTGGTAAGGAGTTACACTGACAACCCAAAGGCAGGCAGTTTGAATTCACCAGCTGCTCCAAGGGAGAAAAATTGGCAATCTTCTCCCTTGTGATTTACAACCTCTGAAAACCGACTAGAGGATCAGCTATGAGACAGTTCTGACTTGAATGCACATGACAATAACAATAGTAATACATTTTATTGACCATTCTCACCCCTGATAGGTGTTCTGGTGGCACTGTTGCACTGCTTAACCAAAAGTGGTGGTTCAAATTCATCATCAACCCCAAGGGAGAAAGGTGAACAGTTGCCTCCTATAGAGATATACATCAGAAATCTGAGGGAGGGTTGCTGTAAGTCAGAACCTTCTTGATGGCAGCGGGTAGATTTTACTAATGTGAAGAGTAATTTTATTAGTGTGAATAAAGTGAGTTTTTCATTCCTGCTTTAAAGCTCTTATCATTACTTATAAAATTAAGCCTGTTGTTAAAAACTACATACCACAGTGGTTCACCTTCCCAGAATGGCTTTTCTAGAGAGAACAGGTGGTCTGCAGGGACCTGGTTTAGAGAATAAAATCAGGAAATAGAATCGTGTTGTGATTATATTACATATAATTGTACAGATGGTCCTTCTAGTTCTGTGGAAGAAACCTATTAGCAGCATTTTTCCCCCTCTCTCTCCTTTTCCCCACCCTCTGCCATTTGTTGTTGTTGTTGTTAGGTGGCATCAAGTCAAGTACAACCCATCATGACAACAGATCTGAATAACAGATCTGAACCCTGCTCTATTCTGTGCCATCCTCATACTTCCTGACACACTACAGCCCATTGTGACGGTCACTGTGTCAATCCACACAGTCGAGGGTCCCTCTCCAAGGAATAGCCCCTGCCAGCAACATGCCCATAGTATGTGAGGTAAAGCCTCCTCATCTCTGCCTCCAACGAGCACTCTGGCTGCACCGTCTCCAAGACCCATTTGTATATTCTTTTGGCAGTCTATGGAATGTTCGGTGCTCTTTTCCAACCCTACATCTCGAAGGCATTAATTCTATCATCCCTATTCACTGTCCAGCTCTCAGATGCATAACAAGTGATTGAACATAAAAACCATGGCCTGAATCAGATGCACCTTATTCCTCAAACTGACATCATTACTCCTCAATAATTTAGAGAGGTCTCTAACTGCAAACTTTCCCAGTGCAATATGTCTCCTGATTTCATGACTGCTGGTACCAAGGGTGTTAATTGTGGATCCAAGTAAGACGAAGTTGTTGACAATTTCAATCTTTTCTTTATCTATCATGATGTTGCCTGTTGGTCCAGTGGGAATTTTGTTTTCTTGACATTGAAATGCAATCCATATTGAAGGCTATGCTCTTTGATCTGCAACATATGCTCCAAGTCCTCCTCAACTTCAGAAAGCAAGGTTGTATCATCTGCATAATGCAAGTTATTGATGATTCTTTCTGATCCTGATGCCACATTCCTCTTCTTAGAGTCCAGCTTCTTGAATAATTTGCTCATCATATAGATTAAATAGGTATGGAGAAAGAATACAACCGTGATACGTTTCCTTCTTTTAAACCATGTAACATTCCCTTTCTCTTTTCACACAACAGCCTCCCGTTTAGGTATAGGTTTCACATGAGCACAATTAAGTGTTCTGGGATTCCCATTCTCAATGTTAGCCACAACTTGTTATGATCACACAGTCAAATGTCTTTTCATAGCCGATAAAGCATAAATAGACATTCTTCTGGTATTCTTTACTTTCAGCCACAACCATCTTACATCAGCAAAGATATCCCTGATGCTATGTTCTCTTCCAATTCCTGTTTGAACTTCTGACAGTTCCCTATATAATGATCTTTAACAGTCTTTTGCTTGCATGTGATATTAATGATATTATTCAATCGTTTTCACATTCTGTTGGATCACCTTTCTTTGGAATGGGAACAAACATGGACCTCTTCTAATCTGTTGGCCAGATAGCTGTCCTCCAAACTTCCTGGCATAGACTGGTGAATGTATCCAAGGCTGTATCTGTTAATCGAAATAAGTAAATTGGTGTCCCATCAATTCCTGGGGCTTTATTTTTTGCCAATGCCTTCAATGTAACTTCCACTTGCTCCTTCATTACCATTGGCTCCTGCTCTTATGGTACTTTCTGTAATTTTTCAATGTCAATCAGTTCTTTTTGATACAGTGACTGTGTATTCCTTCCATCTTCTTTTGATGCTTTTTTGGGTCATTCAATATATTGACCATAGCATCTTTCATTATTGCAACGTGAGGCTTAAATTTGTTTTTCAGTTCACTCAGCTTGAGAAATGCAGTGTAAGTTATTTATTCTCTTTTTATTCTCCAATTCCAGCTCTCTGCATAGACCATAATAATACTTTGCTTTGTCTCCTTGAGCTGCCTTTTGAAATCTTCTGTTTAGCTTTTTTACTTTGGCATGTTTTCCCTTTGCTTTGGCTTATTTATACTCTAGTGTTATTTTTAGAGTCTCTTCTGACATCCATTTTGTTGTTTTGTTTTTTATTCTCTTCTCTGTCTTTGTAATGACCTTTTGCTTTTTTCCTTGATATCATCCCACAATTTATCTGGTCTTCTATCACTGGTGTTTAATTCTTCAAACCTGTTTCTAAGATGATTTTTAATTCAGATGGAATAGATTCAAGATCCTATCTTGGTTCTTGTGAACTTCTTTTCTTTTTTTTTTTTTTTTGCCTTAATTTGAACTTGCACATGAGTAATTGATGGTCTGACCCACAAACAACCCATGGCCTAGTTCTGATTGCTGATATTGAGCTTCTCCACCAATTCCTTCCACAGATGTAATCAATCTGATTCCTGTGCAGCCCATCAGATGAGGTCCATGTGTAAAGTTGTAGTTTGTGTCTTTTAAAAACAAAATTTGATCATTCTATTTCCAGCCTCATTTCTACCACCAGGCCTGTATTTTCTAACTACTATTCCATCTTCACTGTTTCCAACTTTTACACTCCAGTCACCAAATATCATTAATGCATTTAGATTGCATGTTTAGTCAATTTTGGACTGTAAGATTTGGTAAAAATTTTCAATTTCTTCCTTTTTGGCTCTGAACGTAATAGTGTATATTTGAATAATAGTTTTATTAACGGGTCTTCCTTGTATGTTGTTGTTGTTAAATGCCATCAAGTTGAGCATGACTCAACGCGACCTTATTTGCATGTGTATGAGTAATATTCCTCACTCACAACATTGTATTTCAGGGTAGAACTTGAAATTGACTTTTTGACTGTGAATGCAACACCATTCTTCTTCTGTTTTCATTCCCAGTAAAGTATACTATGGGATTATCTGATTCAAAGTGGCCAAAGGTAATCTCCTCTCACTAATGCCTAGTATGTCAATGTTCATGTGTTCCATTTCATTTTTCACAATTGCTAGTTTTCCAACATTCAAGTTTTGTACACTCAAATTATTGAATGAGGTATGCCATTAGTTTTCCTCATTTCAACTGACTTCCAGTCTGAGTTCTGCCACTATTACTTTCTGTCATTTTGCTGTACTGAAATAACTTGGGGGTTGCTGTGATACAGACAACTATGCCACTGGTGTGTCAAATGCCACAAGGGTCACCCGTGGTGGACAGGTTGTAGGAGAGCTCCCGGATTAAGCTAGAAAGCAGGATTGACGAACCACTTCTTAAATAACAGCCCTCTGAACAGTAGAGGAATGCAGATGGTCATTTTGGAGGCCATTAAACCAGTACTGGTTGCTGTAGAATAGATTCTGACTCATTATGACTCTGTGTATATCAGAGAATTATGCTCCATAGCGTTTTTCAGCAAAGAGTACAACCCCAAAGGGTTTCCTAATATTTATGGGGGCAAATCACCAGATTTTTTCCCTTTTGAGGAACCACTGGAGGATTGTAACCATTGTTCTCTAGGTTAACAGCCCTTTAATCATTGCATCACTAAGCCTCAGTAAGATCTTTTTTAAAAAAATTATTTTAATTTTTTAATTGTTCTTTTCCTCCTTTGTATTTAGCTGCCTCTGAAAGCCCACCAGAGGTTCAGCTATGGGTTGGTTTCCATTCGATGTACACAACAACAATTGTTCATTTAATGAAGGTTTACAGAAAGGTTGGATTTTCATTTATTTATTGTTGTACATTTTCCTCCCTCTATAGGAAGGTATTAACACACAACAAAACTAAACTGCTATTGAATTGATTCTGACTAATAATGACCCTAACCGGACAGAGTAGATGTGCCCCAAAGGATTTCTGAGGCTGTAAATCTTTATGCAAGCAGACTGCCTCCTCTTCTTCTGTGGAGCAGCTGATAGGTTTAAGTTAATGATTTTTTGTTGTTGTTGTTAGCAGTCCAACTCTCAACTCTAGGGTTCCTAGAAGGTAGAAAAATCAAGCTCACTGCTCTTTAATCGATTCAACAGAAGGCTGTAAATCCCCATGGGAAAAGACATCCATCTTTCCCTGATGAAACTGCTGTTAACTTTGAACACTGACCTCAAATTTGACCCTATCATATACTTATCAGCTTAATTAATTAAATGAGTTTGATACTGACTGCTTACCAGGTACTGTGCCAAATGCTGTATTACAAAAGGATACAGCACTCAGAGGGGATGATACGATACATCATACTAGCCAATAGTGTAGATACATGCTTTGTTCTAGTAATCCAGAGGAAGTGTAGGATTTTTTATTTTTAATAAATTTTTATTTTATACTGGTTTGCTTCTAAGTGGTATAGCAGTGGTCTATCCATTTGCTCTACAGAGGTAACTTGTGGTTGCTGTGATGCTGAATACTGTGACACTGATGTGTCAAATGTGATAACAGTTACCCATGGTGGACGGTGTTTGGTGGAGTTTCCCAATTAAAACAAGCTTGGAAGCAGGAGGGGTGTCCCCTTCTGAAATAACTTGAAACTCTATGAACCTGGAGAAATGATGAAAGTTATACAAGTGTTCAGGTCTTTCATTCATAGGGTTGCTATGAGTCATCTATGACTCGACGTCACTTAACAACAACAACAAAAACAATTGGTTTGCGTACAAAGTTCATATCCATTGTTTTTCACACTGGATCTTTTTTTTTTAATTATTAAATTTTATTAGTTTTAATGAACATTTACAGGGATTTTGGGTTTTCATTCCTTCATTGCTGTACCATTCTCTCTACCCTCCTCCCCAGTTT